GACGGGAGGGAAAGTGCTTCAACTATAATGAGAGGTTCACCTTCAGGCACCAGTGCGCAAGGCCTGATTTAAGGGAGAGAGGCGACAGATGACAAGGGAGAGAATCAGTGAGCTCGAGTCAACCTTGAGGGCAAGGTTGTTTCCAAGGGGGCGGGGATGATAGAAACCCGTAATTTTTTATAATTTGCTTATTCGGATTATCTTTGTCGGTTTGTTATTCTCATGACTTGTAGGGATTATTTGGGGATATTTAATAATTCGGGTAGCAGTAGTGAATTGTCCATTTTCTATAAGAATATTTTTACGTAGGATTAGACCACTAAGCAAGATTAAACCCTAAAAGAACTCTCCAATCCTTCTCTCTCCTCCTCTCGACCGAACCCTTCTTCTTCCCTTCACTGCTGCCGATCGACGGCCTCTCTTCCTCCTCCCTTCTCAATTTCCAAAACCCTTCTCTTCCCCATTTTCTCTATTAAGGCGAATCACTACCTTGGTGATTTGCCCCTTCCATCCAAAACCCTAGAAAGTGATAGAACCCTAATTTTAGGTTTCTATGGCATCCACCTACTATGCATAACACAACAGATAAATTGCCTCAAGTTATGCAAAAGATTGACATTTTCCTCCTAATTATGTGTTAGTACTTGAAGAAAAGGAGATTCACCTAATAAGGCCTCCATCAACAGAATCACAATAGCGCTTCTTCCACTGCATAAACTCCAGATTATCCAGCGACCTTTTCACAATCTGACTCACTTCAATATGCCGAAACAGAATAAAATCAATCAAATGAATACTACAAAATCAGAGGTCCGATAGAGAAATGGTATTTATGTTGGAGTAATCAGGTCTGACAAATTCGCAAGCTAGTTGTGATACTACTCACTTTGATTGAAACAACATGCACAAAGAAGAAGAATAAGATACGCAAGGACTAACGAATTGAGACTCAGGCAACCTACTAGCCATCACAAACTAGGAAATCAGAATTCAGAAGAAGGAGTATAGCAACAAGACGCATCTACTTGGATTTTAGGGTTTATTGCAATAAGCAAAGGAAATGAGCTCCTTACCTATCTCAATGGAAGATTGAAGCTACAAAATAAATAAATAAACTTCCAAGTTGTAGAAGAAACACCTCAAGTCTGCTTCATTGCGAGCACCCCAGTTCAGCCCCACTAAACTCTTCGAGAACTTCGACATGTTCTGCATCTCAATGTAAGACGACGTGATGCAAAGGAAGGAAAGTAACTACAAGAAGCAGCCAATTGGGATTCAAGAGTTTACTGGCATAGGCAAAGGAGTTCAGCTCCCTTACCAATATCAATGAACGATTGAAGCTGCAGAAGAAGGAAAAGAAGTCCTGAAATAGTAGAAGAAGAAGCCCCTCAAGTCTGCTTCACAGAGAGCACCCGGGTTCAGCCCCACTAAGTTCCTCGTCGAGAGCTTTGTCGGCTTCCACCTCCCAATCTAATACAGTGGGATACATAGATCTAACTCTCGAATGGATGAAGGGAAAGAGAGATGAATGGTGAGATGCTAATGTGAGCTAATCGATGCCACTAACATTCTTAGCTAGCTCGAATCCTACACGATCGACATGGAGCGATGGATTTAGGGATTTTCCGGATTGATTAGGATAAGTGGATTTAGGGATTGAATATCGTATATGGAAAAGGGAGATAACCTATGATTGGAGTGATGGATTTGGCTATGCACTCCTCGCTGCCTTCATGTCGTCGTCCCGATGATGTGCCGGTGACTTGAAGCTACGGATCTTACGCGGAGGAGAAACCAAGAAAGACATGTCGATTCCGTGTTTTAACAAATTTTTTCACAAAATAATATTTAACTACAACCTCACCAAAACCCTAGGTCATAATTATCTAAATCATAATCTATAAACCCTAAGATGGTGCATTCCTTTTTGTGCCTATATTTGGATGCATCATAACCGTTGATTATTGTTTCTAATTATATTGATCTTGGAGTATAAGATTGGGAGAGTTAACACCTAGATTTTGATCTTTAAGTGTTAGAGTATAGTATCATATCCGAAAGATCGGTCAATTCAAGGTCTAGATAGTGTTTTCATACTCAAGATATGCGGTACCCCGGATTTCACCCAGGGTACCGTAGAACTCGCCACATATATATAATATGCAACGGAAAACTGCGTCACCGAAAACTATAACTATGGTGACGCTTGAACTCGTCACAGGAAACGATTCTTCCCGTCACTGATAATTTTTGCAGAGGCTGAGGAAAAAATTGGAGCTTTCCGTGACGATCAGTAAATTTTTTCATATAAAGTGTGTTTTATGTGACGAATTTTGGATCATCACAGAAATTTTCGTTACAGAAGGGTAGTTTTCTTGTAGTGCATAAGTTTCTCGAAAAGTGATCGACCACTTGAAGATAAGTGTGTCATCAGGTCGACCATTTTCTTGGAAAATAATCAACCATTTAATAAAAGAGATCAACCATTTTCTCCAAGTTACACTGATTTACAAGTCACCATAAGCATACCTATATTATATTTCTTGCTAAAATAGTTTCTTAGAAATTAACAATGCGTCACTCTCAATGAACAGATAAAGATTGCAGTCTGGCAGAGAGCATCTCGAAATGATTGAGACAGAAATTGGAAATTGCAAATACGGACTAAGTGGACCAGGAAAGCTCCATCCGCTAAAGAACGGCATCTCGGATTCTCCAACTTGTTATCCATTCCACTACGGCACCTTTGGAAGTAGTTGTCCTGTAATTGACAGAGGGGATATACATGTATGTAGCTAGCTAGTGTTTTGTTTTGGGCTTTCCTTTCCTTGACAGGCGAGTCTTGTTTTGTGTTATTGTTGGAATAGCTTCGTCTCAGAATATGGTTACCACTGTTTCACATAACTCATACATGTGGTTATTACTGTTTCATCGTGATTACAACTTTTGGGTTGGGTTACCATATTTGTTATTTAGTGGTTGGATATATAGTAATAGTATTACTCTTGTATAGTGAAAACAATTGGCAAAGAAGACTGTTGGAGTTAAATTTATGAAAGTCGGTTTTTAGTGATGGTACTACCTAGCTAGGCTATCAATTTGGTTTGGTTAACCAAACCATTAATTAGTATAAAAAATTCAAAGCCAAATCAGGTAGATTTGAAAAAATCAGAACCAAAATCGTTAAGGGCATAATTGGTTTTCGATGAACCAATAGTTGATAAGGCTCTTGATGGTTTTGGTTTAGTTTCCTAAAAAAAAAGACAAAAATCAAACTCATAGTTTGGGAAGTTAAAAGTTTGAGTAATAAAAGATCACACCAAGAAGTATGATGGAAAGAATTCTACTACATATAGGTTGATGCCAATATGTGTTGTTAATGGGTATTTACTTTGTTAGAGTGTTATCCGTTTTTATTTATTTTCTATTTAAACCTAAATGAACACCATTAAAATGTAGAACTGTTTAAAATAAAATAAAAACCGTTAACCTTCTTATTGATTTGGTTTCGTTCAAAACCAAAAGATCAAATCCAAACTAGACAATTTTATTACTAAGTAAATATGTCTTATGTTGAACATGAATTAGATAGATCGACGGATACATACACGATCGAATGTTGACTTGTTATGAAGACTGACATGTAACTAGAAGAAAAACATATGTGCGATCTAATAATAATAGTACAAAACCTAACATAAGAAAGTGTTTACAACGGACTAACTATTTAATCAATAAACTAAATGCTTTCCAAATTCTGGTAAGAATGTATGGTCACTTATAGAAATGTGCAACAGTTCAATCTGTATCGGATCACAGCGAAAACCGACATTTGGACTGGATCGAACCATATCTAATTTTATATAATGTGATCTAGTTGAATTTATTTATATTAAAAAAATAGATCAAATTAGACCGAATGAAAATGTTGGTTCAATTCTTAGTACTAACATATCTTTTACTATTTGACCATAATACTTATTAGTTTGATGCAGTCCGAACCACACTGTTCCACACCCCCTAATCATTTATAATACAAGAAAACATGAATTGAAATCAGATCATACATTACAATGTAATTCCCCTGGAGAAAATATTTACCGAGCTCTCTTAACTTTCTTATAAAACAACCATGAAACTCTCTATGTCGCACACACAGAAAACCTTATTAATATGAATATTTAGACGTTGATGTTATCTATCGAATTTGAAGATTCTAGTATGAACATTTAAATCGTTTGGATATTGACATCAAATGTTGCATTTTGTTTATAATGTAGTATCTCATTTAAAATATGGATGGAGATATATGTAGGGGTGTTGGTTCATTTGATTTGGTATATGTATGACAATTTTGATCAGACCTCATTGATCCGACCTGTTTGACCTGTTTTGGGCGTGTCCGATCCGTCCTGTAGGCAGGTCGGGACGGGTATGGGTACTCTCATCGACCCGACCTGCCCTGACTCCCCCCATTCTCGACCCGTTCTTGCCTAAATTACCTGTAATATTAGTCAAATTACATAGAATTTTCATTTAATTACATCATATTTTAGCTATAATAAAGTAGTAAATTAGTGAAAACCTAAATTTCTCCAATAATTTTACTACATTTACCATATTATGGTTTGTTTCTTGGTCTTACAATGAAAATAACGAATATTTCTAATATTTTCCATATAAATTACATACTCATTGGGTCTACCTGCCCCAACTTGCGCCCCATGATAAATTACTTAACTTGGATCCGACCTGCCACAAGGCGAGTATGGATATCGAGATACCCGTCTCGGACCTTCCCCATTGCCATTCTTACATGCACCTCTCACCTAATGTTTTGGTTTCGAGCGTTTTTTATGGTTTAAACCGAAACCAATATTGTGCAAACCGATTTAGGATAAACAAACCCAAAACTATAAGATCCTTATCGGGTCGGTTTTGATTTAAAATAAAAAACCGAAACCAATATTCCGACCCTAATTATAGGAAATGGTCTTAAGACGCTTCATTTGTTATTAATCGTGTCTTACTTCCTCATATGTTTTTGTTACAACCAACATAAACGGGCATATCTACTGATTATACCACTTGCTAAATAGATTTACCTCCAACTGTCAATTAACATCCGGCATGGGTACTGGTACGGCAGAGAAGAATTCCCATAATTTCCTGAGCTCTCTTATTATCCTCCTCTTATAAAACAAAAAACTCTCTTTCTCTCAGTCTCTCACACACACAGACACACAAAACTTCATTAATCCTTCCTCCGCCATGGAAATTTCCTACCTCCTCTATTTCATCCTCTTCCTCCTCTCCTATCCGCTGGCAAAATACTTCCTCAAACCCAAAACCGGAAGCCTCCCGCTCCCACCGTCCCCCGCCTTCCCACTGCCAATCCTCGGCCACCTCCACCTCCTCCGCAAACCTCTCCACAGAACCCTCGCCGCCCTCTCCGCCAAACACGGCGGTGGCGCCACCCTCCTCCGCTTCGGCTCCCGCCGCGTCCTCCACGTGTCCTCCCCTTCCCTCGCCGAGGAATGCTTCACCAAAAACGACGTCGCATTCGCCAACCGCCCCGGCCTGCTCGCCGGGAAGCACCTCGGCTACAACTTCACCACCCTCGTGTGGGCCCCTTACGGCCACCACTGGCGCAACCTCAGGCGCGTCGCCACAATCGAGATCCTCTCCACCACCCGCATCCACATGCTCCAACAAATCCGCGTCGACGAGACGCGCGCCACGCTCCTGAGGCTCTTCGAGAAATCCACCTCCGCCAGCGGCGTCGCCGTCGTGGACATGAAGTCGATGTTCTTCGAGCTGACCATGAACGTGATGATGAGGATGATCGCCGGGAAGAGGTATTATACTGGGGGCGCCGGCGGCGAGGAGGAACTGGAGGAGGCGAAGATGTTTAAGGAGATTGTGGAGGAGACGATGGAGCTGAGCGGCGCTACCAACGTCGGGGATTTTGTGCCGGTTTTGAGGTGGGTTGGTTTGAATAAGGGGGAGAAGAGATTGGCGGCGCTGCAAGGGAAGAGGGACGGGTTCATGCAGAAGTTGATTGAAGAGCGGAGGAGGAGGAGCGTGACGGCGGCGCGTGGGGGTTCCGGTGAGGGTGGGCATAAGACTATGACGGATGTGCTGCTGGGATTGCAGGAGACGGAGCCGAAGTACTACACTGACGATATAATTCGAGGCTTGATGCTAGTAAGTGAACCCATTTTATTATTATCAGCACTTTAATTACTCAAATTTTATACTAGTTCAAAGGAACAAATTTGCTGATATAAATTAAATACGGATCAAATCTATTCCCACTACATATGCTTTGGTGATAATTTTTTTTAGCAAGAACAGTGAAGAAAATAATTATGCTGGATTAATTTCGCTATCAAATGTGAAAGATGGGCTACTCATAGATGGAACCTAAGAGGAAACCAATTATTGCTTTCTTGGACTAACTTGTGCATAGAAAATTGAGTTTTCTTTGATAAGTTATCCTACTAGAAAAAAATGGAATTTTTAGCTGTTTTTTGCACATTTAAATTTAGTTTCTGTCATGGAAAATGGAAACTTTTTTTTCCATAAAAAACGACAAACTTTGATTTCTATGATTACTCGTCAAACTCATAGAAGCAATTAAGAGGGGCAAATAGCCCTTCCAGACAGTGACCACCAAAAGGAAAATACCAAAATGTATCAATTGACATTAAAAAAAAATTTGGATGCAGCTTGCTAAAAAAATCTTAGCACTTGTGGGGTTTTCGGTTCACTTTGATACATTGATTTCTCATGCACAAGTCATATGTCCATTGAGATCAAACAGCTTGTTGATGAGCTCGGGAAGTCTCATCCATTTTAACATAGGACTTTGATCTATTTCAATTATATCTGTGCAGAGTCACAATATGATCTAAGGTGATTAGCTATATTAGAAGAAAGGTAATTGCATATTAATTACTGTTTAGAATCTGCATGATGATAGCCAGACCAGACTGAATGCAAAACTTCACTTTTAATATCAACATTGAACCCTAAACTTTACTCCCAACGGGTTAGTCTAGGCAAAATACACTTGTATAGCTAAAACTTTCACGTTTTTGACAAATATAGCCATAATTATTCGAAAACACAAAATAGCCAATTCCGTCCATCATTTTAACGGTGTTAATTAACCATCTGACTAGACTGACGGAAATGCTGACTTGGAGACATTTCGTCAGTTAAAATCCACGTGGATTAAAGGGAAAAAAGCCAAAAATTTATTTCGAATAGATTTGTTACATGACCATCCAATTTCTTGGCTATTTTGTGTTTTCGAATAGTTATGGCTATATTTGTCGAAAACCTTAAAGTTATAGCTATACAAGTGTATTTTACCCTAAATTTATTTCTCGAGACTAACTTTGTCCTACAATGGTAGGTGATGTTATCTGCAGGGACAGACACTTCAGCCGCGACAATGGAATGGGCACTTTCGCTCCTCCTCAACAATCCACAGACAATTGTGAAGGCCAAGTTAGAAATCCACACCATCATTGACCATACCAAGTTCCTCGAAGAATCCGACCTTCCAAAACTGCCTTATCTCTCCGGAATTGTAAAAGAGACCCTAAGGATGTGCCCTGTAGCTCCCCTTTTGGTACCACACGAGTCCTCGGAGGAGTGTACCGTTGGAGGGTTTCGAGTGCCACGTGGGACGATGTTGTTGGTCAATGCATGGGCCATGCATAATGATGCCACGTTATGGGAAGACCCTGAGAAGTTCAAGCCGGAGAGATTCTTGAGAGATGAAGATGGAAGGCAATTTTCATGGATGCCATTTGGAGCCGGGAGGAGAAGGTGCCCGGGAGAAAGTTTGGCCATGAAGGTGGTAGGGTTTGCTTTGGGATCGTTGATTCAGTGCTTTGAGTGGGAGAGGGATGGCGAGGAAATGGTGGATATGTCTGAAGCAAATGGGCTCACCATGCCGAAGCTCCTTCCTTTGCGGGCTAAATGTAGGCCCAACCCGGACATGATTCATCTCCTTTCGCAGCTTTAGTGTCACAGAGCCATCATCTTAATGTCACTTTGTCCAATTTCCATCACAAAACTATCATTTCTGTAACCCTCTATCGATCTCAAAGACATTGATGAACATGTATATAGTGATATTGATACATGTAATCAAAGTTATAAAATTCCTAGATATGTCTAGGATTGTATTCTACAACGCTTTCTGATAATACCTACTCCAAATTAATCATCTAATGCTCAAACAAAGACTCAACAAAAATCGATGGGTTGAGGTTTCTTATGTTTAGTGGTTTTTTAAGATCCATAATAAAGTAAGACATAGATTAAACAGAGAGATAAATAAATGATACACACTTGATAAGAAAGTTCATCTAGATGACATACATCTCAATCTCAACAGTGATAAGCATCAATGCATCTTCTACTATGTAACCCTATTCCTTTAACTAAGATCTTCCTAATCGAGCTTTTGATACATGCAAACGGAATTATGACTGCTAATGAGTGCTTTTAATTCATGACACTAGACTGATAAATCAAACAATGCAGTATTGATAGCACATTAACTATTTAGGTACTCTACGAATCATAGTAACGATCTATAGCATTGATGATCTAGGGTATCAAGCATTATGCTCAGTCAAAGCATGCATTGTTGATCATTTCATTCCATACACGTCCAAGAACATGACACATCATATAAGAGTAGTTTCCTGACTGACAACTTAACATATTATTATAAACAATACTATAATAGCAGGTTAAAGAGGATGAAGACATTACATGGTTAAGGCATCATAAAGCTAAGATACTCAAATAATATAAGCATCACATGACTAAAACATCGAATAATATAGATAAAAAATGACCAAAACATCTCATTATAATATAGAAAGAAGATGCATCAAACATCAATAGAATTCATATCCTTAATAACATATTTGGACTAAAAATACATAGAAGAGGAGGATGGTACCACCATCGATGATGAAGGGCATCTCCTCAGTTGCAAATTCCTATGAATGCTAAATCAGCCTCCCTCGAGCTGAGTGACTCCTTGCTTAAGTAAAATAATGTGATTTTAGTGAACATTTGCAGCCTACTAAATTCATTAACTTGGCCCACAAGTATCATCTACATGGATTTTCAATGCAACTTGATGGGTTTGGGCTAGCACTGGTTGAACCCATCACATGAGAACTGTGGGTTTCTTTGTAGGCTTGGGCTAAAACTTCTCCAGTCAGATATGCGACTCTTGAGCACACTACATCCAGAGATGATATGACAATTTTTCTTGCAGTACATGCAAGAGTTTTGCTTGCGGAAAAACTTCTGAAAATGCCCAGTCACCTTACAATAATTGCATTAAACATTTACAACATTGACTTGATGTTGGAATTGTGGTTAATTTACAGCAAAGACATCACCACCATCCATGTCAGGCTACTTGCTAGTAGTCACAGCAAAGGTGACTTCCCCATCCGGATGACGAACGTCTAGCTGGGCTTGTGCTCACATCCTTGTCTCTTCACGTACCAGATAACCAAGAGCCTGTTCCACAGTTAGCTTATCCTATTTCAACGGAGCAGCCCTAATTGGCTCATATTCCGGATGAAGACGCATTAGAAAGTAAATTGGCTCATCCAGAGGGTGCGGGCGAAGCTGTAGTAAGCAGTGATAATCTTATCTCCTTGAAATAGCTTGGCGAGCTTAAACTCAACCTCTAACTAACGAGCGGAATTCATCGTGGGATACGTCTTGTAGAGATGATCCCACATAGAGGCAATCATCGTAAAGGAACAAAGGCCCAAAATCAAGGAAGGATTGACCGACTTCTAAAGGCAGGTCATAACTTTTGCGTTACTCGGCATCCAAGTGGTCAAATATTGTGCAGAAGCCGATGGAACGGTAGGGTGCGGATTGCTGCCATCCACAAGGCTTAGAATCCCTTTTCCCATAACAAAAATTCGAAACTCAAATTCCCAAACAACGAAGTTGCTAACATCCAAACAAACATAAACGCAATCAGAATCCATAAGCTCTGATATCATGTTAACAACTCGAATCGGATCTAAATATAAACTTAAAGGAACAATAGTTTATGTGGTTTCCAGTATTACAGGATGCAATACGGACTAGTGCACGGAAGATCTATTGTCTTATTTAGTTATCATCTCCAACGTTACAAGTAGTATATATACACACCATAAACCCTAGGTGGCAGGCGAGCTAGAAATGGCCATGGGCTCTACGACTACAAGATATTTTACGTACACTACATAGGTCAAAGTCTGTATACTACATGGGATTACATCAATTAGCATAGGTTAGCCGGCCAACCGGCCGTTCGATTTTGCTTTTAGGCTCGGTTAGCCAGCCAGCCAACCGAAAAAACCTACCTTCTCTAAAAAAAACACTAAAAATTAATAAAAAAAAAAGAAACAAAAATTCTCCACCACTCAATCCTTATCTCCTTCTCTCTCCTTCCTCCACCAACCCACCAAACCACTTCTCTTCTCTCTCCTTCCTTCCTCCACCATTTCACACCCACCAAACAACTTCTCCTTCTCTCTCCTTCTTTCTCCATGGATGAATAGATCTGCAGAGACGGACGGAGAGGCAGTGAATGGACAGATCTGCAGAGGGTGGGGGTCGCTGGGGGAGATTGACAAGGCGCCGGCAGGGCAGGGAGAAGGCGAAGGAGGGGTCTTGGAGACGGGAGACCTAGCGCCGGCGGGGCAGGAGGACAAGGCGGGGCAGGGAGAACCGGAGAAGGCAGAGGAGTGGGTCTCGGAGACCTAGCGCCGGCGGGGAGATGTTGGCAGGCAGGGGGCCTGTCGCTCAAGGGAGGAAGTTCGAAGGTCTCGGCGGCCTTGCGACTGCGATGTCTCGGCGGCGTCTCGGGAAGGTGGCGATCGGCGGTGAAACGCGGAGAGACGGCGGGGATTGGATCATCACGTAGGGAGGGTGGAGGAGGCGGCAGTGCTGGCTGTTGCGGGCTTCTGCTGTGAGTCGAAGAAGACGAACGTAGGGTTGGGAGGGTTTTAGATCTGCTGGCAAAACGACGACGTCTCTTGTCGGTCGGTTAGCCGGTTTATCGGCTAGCCAACGAACCACTAACCTATACCAGCCACCGACCGACGCACGTATTCATCGGTTTTCTGTTAGCTGCTAACCGGCGGTTAATGATTAGACCGGCCGGTTAGCCGCTAAGCGAAAACCGAAATGACAGCCCTAGTTTCTGCTTTAAGTTTTCGCTATACTGTGTATATAAATAGATTTGCAAAAGTTGATGGTGCATTTTGGAAAATGTCAATATAAATCTCTTTATTATTTCCTCGTATGTATGTGTGCTTTCAGATACTATGATGTGGCCTTCTGATACGCTCAAGCAAGTACGGGCACGGTAGAAATGTAAGTAATAATATGTCCATTATTACCCACGTGTGCTAAACTTTTTATTAATTGAAAGAGTGAATAAAAAAGGAACTAAAAGTACAATATCAAGACAACAATAAATTAACTTTCTTGAAGCAACATACTCCGGAAAATCCAAAAACGTTATTAAGTCGGAGCATATTTCTCTGTAAAGTCTCGGTTTTACATGCCATCTAAAATGAAAGTCAAATTTATGGACTTGAAATTTATATAAGCTCATTATACTAGCTAGTGCTTAAATTAGCTGTACTAATTGTGAAAGTTATAAAAACTTATGCCCTGTTTAGTATCCATTCCCATTCCAGATTTCTGCTTTCGTTTCCATAAAAATAAAAATGAAAAGAAAAAATGTGTTCACTTTTCATTCCTTTTTCCATCTGTTTCCATTTGAGGAACCAATTTGGCACCAAAAAATGGTAATTCCAGGAAACACAATATTATTGTTTCCGGAAAGAGGGACGCGGATTCCTCCCCCATTCCCATTTAATGAGGTCTCCCCTTCGAGTCCCTCCGCCCCCAAATTTTTACTTCCCTAATTTTATCTACTACTATGAACTATCCCTCCACCAAGAACCGTCACCAACCCCGTCCTTCTCTTTCTCAATCCCTTGCTGCTGATCTTCTATTTTGCTCAACCATAAGTAGCCCCCTTCTCTTTCTCAATCCCTTTTTCCATCTGATTCGTAAAGTTAATGGCCAATAAGAAAGAAAAATGATTTGGGTGGCAAACGTGAAAGATTTGTATAATTTGAGTGACCAAACGTGTAATTTAGCCTTTGTAACTTTTTATTTTCTGACGTGAACCTCGATGGAGCCCATCAGAACACCAAACCTCGATGGTTCCACTCAATGTGGACAAAAGGTGATTGTTTCAGTTCAAAATGATATTGACCTTCCCTCAAAAAAAAAAAAAAAAGATATTGGCCTTTGAGATTTTGTCCTAGAGTGTTGTGAAGGCAGAATGTTTTCATCGTAGCATTATTGTTTAGCATTTTCAAATGGTTTTTTGCTTAAATAAAATTAAATTATCTCTTCATTATATATAGCATTAAATAAATTAATTAGTAAATATTTATTTATAGAAAGAGACATCAAGAATCTATACTTTAGCACTCAAATTTCTTTCGTTACTTTCTTAGTAATTTTTCGTTATATTCTATTGCTGGTTTTTTATTTATTTTCTAAATAGTTATGATATGAGTGTTATTGAAATCTGCAGATATGTAGTATGAAAGAGTGATTCAGGGTTTTATACTTACGTCGTTGTAGAAAGATTGAAAAGCTGGCCTAACGTGGAGATGAATCTACATCGATTTGCTTTCCGACCGAAAATAGATCTGTAACATTTCCTATCCTCTCGCCACATCTCTCATGAGCTTTTATCATTTAATATTAGTTTGTTGGCACATCACAAAGAAAAAGAACATGCAATAACATTATTCGAACACATGACCAACTAGTCACGGCTCACGAGTTGTGTTGCCTTGCTGCATCAGCAGCTTGGAGCAAGGGTTCATAGTTCATAAAATGTAGTTAGGGGTCAACACATATGATTTAAAATTTTTATTTTATTTTCTTTTCTCACAACTCATATTTTATTATATCAGTTCACTTAAAAAAACTTATCTTTTTTACAATATAACTAGCACCTAAATGCAAGAGTGGATGTCATTTTTTTGTCACCAAAAATTAAATCTTACCTCTCCTCACATTCCTCCTTTTTTCCCCATTGTTTAGGTTCAACTATATGGCGTTGACCGATGAAATCCAATTGGTCATACCAACATATGCTGACCGAGAAGCAGGACAACCTTTGGCGTTTAAAGAAGCCGTACTCCTAAACGACCCAAAAACCGACCCAAATTTCATAAACCAGGTGGATGACAAGTATGAATACACACTTGAAAAGAAAGACCTAAAACTCAAAGGTTGGATCTCCCATAGTGCCAAAATAGGATGGTGGTTAATCACACCTAGCCATGAATACATGAATGGTGGACCCATGAAAAACGAGATCACTTGTCAGACCAGGCCTATTTGTGTGGTGGTACATATTCATAAACTTGTTTTTATTTTATTTTATCTGCATTGATGCACGACATCTCGAATCTAAAGAGATTTCAATTACACTTAATTCAATTTTATTTTGAAAGCTGTGAAAAATGTTCAGATCACAACATCATATCATGTTTTTTTTATTCCTCCTTTCTTGATTATATGGGGTAATTAACCCCCTCAGCTTTTCACTGGCATGCACTCATATGGATTGGATCTAATCACAGAGTATAGGAGTGGGGAGCCATGGAAGAAAGCCTTTGGCCCCATTTTTGTTTATCTAAGCTCTATGGAAGGATGCCAAATCACAGGTATCGCAAAAAACTATAGTTTAGCGGCTAGTAAATTATCTTAAAACATTCAACGAAAAAAAAAAAATTATCTTAAAACATTCTTCATTTATTTTTTTGTGATGTAATGCATATTTATCATGTGATTTAGCTGGAGAAAGAAAAACAACTTTGGCCGTATAGCTTTGTTCAACATGAAGATAATCTTCCAGCAGCCAAACGAGGAAGTGTTATCGGTCAATTACTCGTCGAAGATAAGTATGAATTTCGATGCAATATTAATTTCGTTAATTTGATAATCGTGGGTAAATGTGTAATTTTTTTAATTATCCCCAAACTGATATTTCAGATATCTAAGTCCGAAACCAAAAGAAGCATCCAAGGCATATATGGGTTTGTCCCATGGTCCATGAAACTGTACCGTACCGATGGTTCAACCACGAAATACCAGTATCGGAGGCTAAAACGGTAGTCGGTATTTAACGGTCTAACGGTTGAACTACGATTAAACCATGGTTTTATCATAAAATATCATACCACTGACCTTTCCAGTACGATATCCTGTACGGTTTCATGGACCATGGTTTGTCCGCGCCCGGTTCAATTGATGATGCATGGCAGTATGACACGAAGGTTATTCTGTTTTTCTTTTGGTCTTTCATTAATTATTAGTATCGAGCAAATGAATAATAGTTAGACAACAACTATAACTTTGTTTCTCCTACTTCGAATGTGGGTTAAGATGTTCATATGAATGCTCCATGTATTTGGGGTAGCATTCTATAATGGTTGAGGATAAATATGGATAGTGTGTGTGGTGAAGAAGCTTTGAAGGTTAGAGATTCAAAAAATTTATCTTCATTTTCCAACCAATATTTCTTGAAATCACCTTTTGACATTAAAAAATTATATTAATGGTAAGAAAATTGAGGGAAAGCTAGAGGCATGAGTCGGAAACTGTAATGAAAAAATTTAGGTTGCGCCTATGGTGTCTTGCAAGTCACCGTAACTTGTATAATTCGGTCGACCGAATCCTCTAAAGTGGTCACTCTAATTTTGTACAAATGACCAACAATAGAGAAGTGGTTGACCTGAAATATTATTAGGTTGACCTTAAAGACGTAAGTTGTCACTACCAGAACCAATTAGGTCGACCTTTGCTCTTCCTAGGTCGACCTATCCAACAGAATAATACCAATTTACAAAAAAAAATATATGTGTAATACTACAACGAACAATTGATAGGTCGACCAGACACATTGACCGGCCGACCTTTTAAGCACAACATAGTCTTACAAACAAAGCCAAAGTCGACATTCTGGATAAAATAAGCAAAACAAACAGAAATGGTCGACCATGATAAGAATTAGGTCGACCTATTGGGTTTGATATTCCTTAGCTCGCAAGTACAGAAGTCCGAGTGTTGTGCCCTCAATTCAATTTCTCGCAATTGTCAAACAGAGGCGGACCTGATTGAAATAAACGTCAACCGAATGGTCTTCTGCACGCAACAAATCATCAAATTAAACGGTGCAAATTACGAATTAAACAAGATGGAGATGATAGCTAAAATAGGTCGACCACGTAGGTCGACCTCACCTTTCATGTGGATGACCTCTTGAAACACATATAGCAGCAACTGCAAAGGATCTTCTTCTTCACAAAAGTTCTAGCCTTACAAAAAACCAAATTCATAGTTTCGATGGCGGTGAAGGTGACATATATTCGTATTTATAGATATTTAGGACGAGATTGGGTCGAATTAAGTGGTAGACAAGTTAGGGTTACCTTTCTGGTGTTGGAAACCGTATCCAATACGGATACGGAGTGCACATGGTCTACCTCGTACTTGTCAGGTCGACCGTTTATACTATTTTTTCTAAATAATCCCGACTTTGATGTTGATCAGTTAATGAAACAGAGGTTGGCCTTTTCACTTATGAGGGCGACCTTTTAATAGCAAAATGGTTGGTCTTTGAGATATTTGGGTCGACCTTTCATATTGTTCGCATCCCAAAGAGGTCAACCATTTGCTGTAAAAGGTCAACTGCGTCATTGAGCCTCACAAAACTGAAACAACATATTAGGTCGACCTAATCCTATCTGAGGTCGACCGAAAAGTGCAAGTTACGTTAGCAAAGTCCAAAAAGTTATGTTAACCCTAGTTTACTATTCCTTCTTGAAAATTGATTAAACATTTCTCTTGTTATCTCTTTTGAAGAATTTGAAACATTTTTGTTAGACCAAATTACAGGAAAACAATGAACGATTCTAACTAATTTCAATCACAGTTGACTATGGATCATAATCCTTTTATATCATTCTTAATTTATGACATTTGCTTTCTAACAAAGCGCAGGGCTATAATTTTTGGACAGAGGCAGATGAGAAAGGAAATTTTGTGATAAAGAATGTGAGACCTGGAGATTACAATTTATATGGTTATGTTCCAGGTATTGTTGGCAATTTCAGAAATCCTGTGCTTGTTACTATTCAACCAGGTATGAACGTATTTAAAGTTGAAAATCGCTAGCTTTTTCTTTGTCTCAATTAATGCTTGTTTTCGGGGAAACTTTTGTAGTGATTAAAAGACTGATGATGTATCTAATTACAGGGAAGAAAATCAAACTTGGCCAAGTAGTTTATAAGCCGCCAAGAAATGGTCCTACAATATGGGAAATTGGCATCCCGACCGTTCTGCTAATCAACTTTTTGTCCTAGATTCAGATCCAGATCCGAAGTTTGTAAATAAGTTTTTCTTAAATACACCAAAAGAGAGGTAAATATTCACTTGAGAAGACAAGAATCCCTCATAATTAAACTCTTTTTTTCTTTGTATCTCACAAGTTGTTCATTTAAAACTTTAAACTGCAGGTATAGACAATATGGATTGTGGTCTCGATACACGGACTTATACCCTAAAGAGGATCTTGTTTATGAAGTCGGCGTTAGCAACTATACCAAAGATTGGTTATTTGCACATGTTTTAACTTTTAAGGTCTATCCTCTTCCTAGAATTTGATTCCCCAACGATCTTTGTATTAACAATCTCACTAAATTAATTCAATGAAAATTTAGGCATAAGCATATGACATTTAATTAGAGTAACATCTTTCAGTCAGATTCAATGTGAAATATTCTAGGTCGAGTGGAGGTACTTTTAATCCAACAACATGGAGGATTATTTTCGATCTTCCTGAAGTATGCGCAACAAGCAATTACACTATACAGTTGGCATTGGCATCCGCAGAAATGACGAATACCATTGTATAGTTACACTTTCCTTTATACACACACTAATATAATCATGAAATTTGTTGTTTTTATGTCCAAGACAATATCAGTTTCTAAAATCATTTTTTAGTTTACTCTAGAACAAGGAAATATACGCATGAAAAATAAGTGGCAATAATTGATAGACTTAATATGTAATATTTTTTATAATAAAAGTTATATTTAATATCATTATTATGTTTGTGAAAAATCTAATGTACTAAGAAGAGCATAATTGCCATAATGGAACTTTTAAGTCAAATTAGTTTTATTTTTTTGCAGGTATTTGTAAACAATGTAAATGCTATAAGGCCACATTATTCAACAGGGACCGTGGGAAAAGACAACGCTATTGCAAGACATGGAAATCACGGTTTTTATCGATTTTTTAGTGGACCACTCCCTTCAAACTTTTTTGTAAAGGGGAAGAACACGATTTTTCTTCGACTAGCAAAGTCGACTTCTTTTCCCTTTGCAGGTGTTATGTAGGATTACATTCGTCTTGAAGCACCTCCTCCCTGCCCCAACAAAAAGAACTCTTATCTTCATAAATTTTCTTGTCTTCTTATCATAATACGTATACAATTTGTTATTGGTTGACCATGAAGATTGGTGAAATAAAATGACCAACCAGAGTTGAAAGTGAGAAATGCAAACAAGAAAATTAATCACAAGAAAGATATTTTACGAATTTTGCTTTGTCATTTTGAATAGCTAAATATTACATGTAGTCACCATAAAAATTTTCACTTTTGCCGCTAATTTTTTTGTTTCATTCTTTGTCAAATTTCGTTAAATTCATTCGAGGTGGCTACAACAATGTATTAGACTTCATCCTTATAACAAGTTACAATAGTGAGAAATTATTGTGACAAAACTGTGGCGTCATGCTATAGTGTTCACGACTTCACGTTACAATTATTATTACCGTAATAACATAAATGTTTGTCACATCAAATAATCATTTGTCGAGTTGATATTGTTACAAACTAGTACATTCTAACAAATTATTTTGTCAACAATATTTATCATATTTAATGATATTTTGTAGGTGAGAGATATTTATTACAATTTATATTATTTTACTTTTTTTATTTTGTGATAATTTATATTTGTATAATGATAAATATTTTCATCAGATTTTATCGTTACAGAGTCAGGATGACAAAAGCACTTGGTCAACATTAATGTTACGGGGTTGATAAGCATTTGTTACGTTGTCACTATCATAAAATGCTAAAGAAGCCATTTTATTTGAAGATAAAATAGTCGCCAATCATCCAAAGGAACAGTATTGTCCATAACTACTACTAACAAACTCTAGAATATGCCAGTTCAACATGTAGAGTACTAGTTCATTACTCAAAACATTTTTTGTTATGTCAAGGTTTCTTCAACAACTAACCCTTATTTTTGGCAAATGAAGATCCTCCCGAAGGTGAGACACATTGTCTGGCATTTCGCGAGGGATGCGCTGCCAACAGGGGATTATAGTAGTCCAAAAAAGTAAAAAGTGGGGCGACAAATATCATTTTTGCGACTCAAAGGGACACGGATTGAAATACCGTACCGGAGGTCGTACCGAAAAAGTCTGCGGTAGGGTATTTTATGCTAAAACCGTGGTTTAATCATGGTTCAACCGTATTATATATACTGCTGAATATCGCCAACCGGTTTTGTTTCCGGTAAGAGGTTTTTCAGGTCGAACCGCCGGTACGGTATTTTAATCCTTGACACAAAGCCAGGTTAAGATGAGTTGAAAAAATAGGTTAACAGGGTTAGAACAATGTGGAGGTTGGTAATTACTTTACAGTAAGAGAATTTGCTTCTTGTAGTTCCATTCATTTTGGAGGCCAACTCAAGAACAATAACTTCAAGGCGATTGTGTGATGCTTACACAGAGGTGATAGCTCAAAGGAGAACCCAAACAGCTCCCATTGGTTAGGTAAGATACTAAAGGTACTTACTTCTCTAGATATGTTGCAAATGGATCCATCGAAAGGGATCAAGAGAGATCTGGTGCATCAGAAGCCTTACATTCCATCTTCTGGTGTATCATAAGAGGAGCAACATCCTTGGTTACTCTACTAGGAGCGCTTTCTCCTGCTTCATCTATCCTAAAGTGTAACCCATCAAGAGGCTTCATGAGTAACTGAAGGAGAAGTACAAAAGGTTTAAAATGTTTCACCTCAGTTACAGGGATGCACATGCAGATTTTGAGTGCATAGGCAAATGATATGCTTTCTGGTTGTGCATGACAATAGAATTTTCTTCATTCATGTTAGCCACCATCCTAGTATCGATTCCCAATAGAGCACCTCCGAGTGGGCACTGATCCTGGTGTCTTGCATCTTTTTTCGGAGAATCAGAGATCTCCAGAATGTAAGTTTTCTGCTATGGGAACCTTAAGGGTTCTGGAGGATTGACATAGAGGGAGTATTGGGGATGACTATGGTCATCTCGATATCTCGAGAAGGCAAATCCCCTTGTTTATCCAGAAGTTCAGCAACTCACTCCTCTTTTGCAGCTTTAGAAGATTCCTGAGAGGCAGCATTTTGGTGTATTTTTTCATCTTTTAGTCAAGTTGGAAAGGGAACGTTTGACTGAAACTTACTGGAATCAAGATACCCATTTAGTGAATGACTAAGATCATCCTCTATGTCATAGAAATTTCTTGGATCTGGTAGCCCTTTTAGAGGTCTTCCTTTGTGGACGATAGTGCAGCATTCAACACCAAGTGTGGCAGAAATTAATCCCCGATCTTTTCCTCGTTGGCCAACACCTTCATCATGAATCTTCCATATTATGAAATTTTTGAAATGGCTTCGATTAAGGGCATGATGATGTTGATGTTCCCAATCTTCTTTATGAATTTGTAAAAATCAATATCTTGTTATGCTTTATTTTTATTGAGCGCAGGATAAGAAGTTGTGGGCCTATAATTTATTAAGTTGGGATTGCTAGGTAGCTTTTCTTCCTGCGCACTCTTAATGGCCAACATGGGGCCAGAAGATTCGTTGGGGCTGGGCATGGAAATTTTAATACCGTCCCTGGAACCATATTCCTCCCCCTCTTATTAGAATTTCTGACTTCTCTTGATGACAAGATGCTTCAGAAGGAGTTGGAGTGTCTCCTTTTCACTTCTCAGGGTGGTAGCTTCCACAGGAGCTTCATTGATCATATTATTGACTCTATCAAGTAGCTCTTTAGATTGATGCTCTTGGGTGTGTAGTAGATCGAGTGTGTCGGTCATGGTACTCATGCAATCTTGAAACTCATTTGATTTGGATATGCCATGCTCGATACCCTTTGTTCTCTTATCAATTATTTGAACATGAACTTAGAGTTCTAGAGTATCATGGACAATGACATCTTTTCTACATTTTTCTTTTGATTAGACTAGTCATTTAGAGCATCACATTCCACACTAGGTTGCTTGACATTTTTCTCTTACTCTTTAGCAAAGGCAACTTGAGCTTGCAAGATGGCAATTTGTTCAACCATCCTTTGTTGTTGTTCTGGTATAACAATGTAGGAATCCGGATTTGTTTGGATGGCATGCACTTTTACGGGGGTCATTCTTCCTGCCTAGTTCTTAGTTTTCTTACTCACGGACTCGTAGTGTTCCATGGGCAATTCCGTAGTGTACTAGGTAACGTCCCCTTCTTTTATCCTTAAAATGGACCACTATGAGCGTGCGTCACATCAATGTTCTCCACATGCTGAGGAGGAACAATTACTAGAAGATCAAGGCGATTCACGTCTTTTTAAGCAAGGTCAAAACAATTATATTTTTTATCTTAGTCTACGGGTCTTTAAAAGAAACGAAAAATCACGGATCCATTACACGAAGCTAAATGAAGCAGAAGGCTTCATGAAGTCGTCATAAAATCCCAAGAGGATTCCACTGGATAAATTTCAGCACAATCCTGCATAGAAACGCACAACGCAATGTGATGGTGCCAACTGCTGCTAGGCCGAACCCATCAAGTGGTGCAAAAAATTCAAGGGAGAGGTTTCCTGTGGGCCAAGGATGTTGAATTCGGAGGAGAACCTACGATGGTGGTGACCACCGTTGTCCCCAGCCCATGTTCTAGTTCAAGAATTTGAGTCGCAGTAGTACCAAGAAGCTTCTAGATGCGTTTTAGGAGGGAAAATGCCCATAAAATCCTTGTTTCTTTCACTATAAATAGAGGGTCAGGTTAAGGAATATAGTATGTTGTAAATATTCACTCAAATCACTCTGTATAACTCGAGAAATGAGCCACTTGTCTCGGGGAAATCCGAATTTGCATTCATGTGAGGGTGCAGTTAAGGAGATGCATTCATCATTGATGGTGGTACCATCATTCTCTTCTATACTATTGTTAGTTAAAATTCATTGTTAAGGATGTGAAGTCTATTGATGCATTATAGCATCTTCATTGTATGATATAATGAGATACTTTGGCTATTGTTTATCTATGTTATTCAATGCTTATACCATTAGATTCCTTCGTCATGTGATGTTTATACCATTAGATTCCTTAGCCATGTAATGCTTATGTTATTCGAGTATCTTAGCATTATGATGCCTTAATCATGTGATGCCTTCATCATTTATTATAATTAATGTTATTTATAATATCATCATATGTTGTATAGAAAACTCAACTTGTCATTGTCTTAGGCACGTATGGAATGATCAACCATCCATGCTCGACTATGTAACCTTAATTGCATTAATATCAATACACACATGTACATCAAATGAAATGAATCAATTTCCCGACTTCTGAACTGATTTCCAAATTACCACCCACAACCACACTCCAGAGTCCACTATTGCACAGGACACAACCCAATCCTAACAAGCTCATAGCCAAAGGCCTAGAGACACATCACACTCCCAATTGTCAGAGCCCACATAAAAATAGCCCACCCCAACCCAGTCAAAACCTATCCCTCCTCGAGAAACAAACAAAGAGGGAAAACCTTCCCCAAAACCCCTCGTCAATGACAATGCTGAGTTTCTTTTCCTTCCTTATCTCTGTCGTTGAGATCTTTCTTTTCTCCCCGCCCTCTTCTCAAGCATCTCATCTACCCCGTAAACAGGCCGCTCCTGACTTCTTCCCTCATTCAAGTTCTTGACCCGCCTTCTAGTACCAACGATTCAGACTATTTTAGCAACTCTTTCATAAATAATAATAACTAGTTTTTGGCCCGCGCTTCGCAGCGGTAACAAATAATTACATTTAAATTTTATCCACTCATCTAATGATTAGTTGAAATCAAATACTTCACAAATAGGGGTATGCAACGGTTCGGTCCGGGCAAAATCATGAGAACCGTGATCCATTAATAAAAAACACCTTAGGACCAAGGACCAGACCATCATTGTGTTCGGTCCATT